GAAGGACCAAGTGTGCCAAGGGGTACTTGTAACAGCGTATCTTCCAACCACCCGCCCTTGTATTTCAGGGCTGCGTACTGTTAAGAGTCAATACAGTTACTTCAAGGCAGCTACGGAAAGTAAAGTAAAACAAATGCAACAAAGGCTCCACAGCCAGATTCAAAACATCTCATTTAATCAGCTAGTTAAGGCACTGAATCACTTACAAGTAGATGGTCTGGCAAAACAATTCTAAGGAATAAGGCCCCCGTGTAGTCATCAGAGAAAATTAGACTTTGCTGCATGATTTTAAAGTCCTACTCTAGCACCCCTTTAACTCTCAGCAGCTGACAAACTAACCTGGAGGGGGGGGGTGGTGGTGGTGTCTCCAGTAGCTGGGCACAGGTAGGCAGGGAGGTTACCCTGTATGGATGGGCTAGATGAGTTACGGGACCGGAATCACAATAAGCAGAAGGAGTGTGACAGCGAACAGGGACCAGACACCAGGCAGCGCCTGAAGGATGCTGCCTCCCAGTCCTGTCTGTGTGCGTGAGTGAGCGGCCAAGAAACCCAGCTTTGCCACCGGCTATGCAGTTTGGGCTGATTGTATTTTTTGCCTTTAAGTTTAAATCCAAATTAGGCTGAATTAGAAGAGAAAAAACACAAATGCAAAGCACAAAGTCCACCGAATGCAAAGTACTGTGTCTACCAAATAGAGTGGTAAAACTCCACAAAAATCACTGGGATTATTGCTCTAGTGCAGAGAAGATAATTTTATCCAGGCTGCTCTTCTTCTGTTTGCCCAAACAGCAACTCCGTGTATGATGTTCTAAGCTATATTCTTCCACTGAGAAATGAGGCACAGCAGCCCTGCTACCACCCAGATGATGGGAACTGCATAAGGAAATCAGAAACTAAACAAATAAATGAAAAGCAAACAAACATTTCCTAACTGGATAAGTAGGACGTGCTGCTAGTGGGACAGAATACAATAAGGAAATTAACTTGGCTTAGCTAATTTTGGCTGCAAATTGTGAAGTGTTCATAAGGGGGAGAAATAAGTAAACATTTTTAGATTGGTGCTTGGGACTAATGTTCATAGATTTTTACCTCAGAATGCCAGTGAAGATAAAAACAGGGTAGAATTGGCTTAAGTAACATGGAGCAAGTCTTAGCGATCCCAGTGATAATGAAGATGGCATGAAGACAGCGCACAAATGAATGGCTGAATAGGAAGGATGAGTGGTGGTAGTGTCCGGAGTGCTCCTGCTTTGCTGAGGCATTCAGCTTTTAATCCTGTTTTCTTAATGCCAGAAGATGAAAACAGGTTAACGTTACTGTATCTACATTCCAGTAATGTGTGCCTGTCTTGGGTATGTAAGTGTTATGAAGCATTTTCCCTCATTTAGTAGTAATTACTTCTAAATTGGCGGCTATATAGACTTTAATTTTTGGACAACAGGACAGAATAAGTATCTGTTGTTCAAAAAAAAAAAAGAGGTGTACATGATTCCTGGAAAAAGATAAGGCCAGTGAAATGTATTAAATTATGATTATTTTCTTCATTAGTGGTGCTTTGATGCACGGTAAACAAATAATTTAGAAAAAATCTAGGTGTAGCCTCCAAAACAGGGATATTGTAAATTGAAAACATTTATGGCTGCTCTTCTAATTCCAACATGAATATTTAAACAAAAGGCATCTCAATTAAACCCCTGTTGAAAGCGTGATTTACTTATAGACACGAGATTTTAAATACATAATAAACAATAGGGCAAGCAGTATAGTGTTCTACTGTTAATGCTAGTTTTAAGCTAAAACTTGAATTTTTATCTAATTTTTTGGTGTGTATTACTGACGAAACATTACTTTGCTATGATATCAGTGAAAATAATTGAATTTGATTTATGGAAATATTTATTCTTACATACTTATGTTGTTGAAAGCATTTGATTTTAGTTAAACTTACACCAGAATCAAACCTGTTAAGAGCCTTTTCAATTTCAATGAACAGTCTGAAGAGATAGAATGCAGCCATCTTCTGAATTCCTTAGGCAGTAATAATTCATGCACTGTAGCAACAGGGACCGTTAGGCAGTACAAACTACTTCTCTCTGTAGATGTGACGTGAAGTTCAGGAAATGTCACAATGCATTTAACATCTTCAAGGAAGTGTTTAGGTGTTTCTGCAAGTAGGACTTCACTGTCTCACGCAATTGCTTTAAAGTCTGCAAAGTTCATGGATTCCCTCCTCCCAACACCTTTACAGCTGGACTCTGGTTTTGCTATGCTCTTGAGGTCAGTATGAGCTCAATTTCAGATCTAAGGTTCTAGGCAGGTTTTAGAAATGGCATGGAAATTATTTCAGTTTATCTGAATTTCAGATAATTAGGAGCCAAGAAACTGGGATTCACCTTTGTCTTTCCTATATGGTACAATGTATGATCACATGGTCAAGACAGATGCCACGATGAGAAAACGAGCATGCATCAGTACTATTCCACATTGACTAAAACTTATAATGGCTGATGTAGGATAAAACACGAGACTAAAAAAAGACTTTGTGTAATTATTGTAAAAATAGTGTAATAAAAACCTCGCTTCTGAAAGTTTGAGTTGTTTCAACAATGTGTAGCAAGCATACTTGGCTATACAAAGCAAAAGCACAACTAAGTTCTCAAATTTACACAAAGTCAGATATCTGAAAGGGGATCTTTTAAAAAAAAACTTTATTTGAGAAAGGAAGAGACTTATATCAGAAGGCAAAAAAAGGGAACATACAAACAGAATATATTTACAACACAAAACAAGAGATCACCTCTAAGGGTGTAAATTATAATAAATACAGTAGATTTAAAATGTAAGAGACAATAATCAAATAGAAATGTGGTTGTTTAAACCCAGTTTTCCTTTTCACTGGTTCAAGGTATTTTCTCTATTTGACTTTTATCCAAATTTGAACGATTCTGAAATTAAAGTCGACTACTGTATTGGGGTTTCTCATCTGAATGACATTATAAAAATATCTTTTGTCTTTTGTGAATACATGTCTTTGAAGCGATATTGTACAAAAGTCTTCTCAATCACAAGTTTCTCCCCAAAGAAAATGTATTTTAAAAGATGCACTATCCCTTTTTGTTGAGGCTGAAGTTAGATTTCAAAGAAAATAAAAATCATACAGAACGGGAAAAACATATAATTTCTTTTTTATATGCTTCATTTCTTGAATGCGAATGTGATTTTTTTTAATCCACAATGGAGGAAGATTTCTGTTCAAATATGAAGCACACATAACAATCACCTGTGCTTAATAAATCTTTCCTATCTAAGAAGGCCTTTCGTATTAACAGCAACTATTTAGTATTTAGTCATTTGTTTGGAGACCTAGGAAAAAGGATAATGTATCTTTAGAAGTTGCAACATTTTATCAGAGATTCAATATATTAGAACATAATGTAAACAACACATGCTACTAACATCTTTCAGAACAATTTCTATATTTGGCAAAACAGCTATCTCTTTTGAAACAAGATACTGCACCTTAAACTACCTCAGCTTTAGAAATATAAATATTTTTAATAGAAAAAAAAACCTGACAAGGATTCCAGGTCAGTTTGGGATTATCCATATTAAAGGGGATCTTAATACAATGAATCTTTAACTAGCTTAACAAAAGTAAACCTATAAAACAAGGTAAACATATCAAAAGGGAATACGAAGGAAATGTTTCACTGGAAAGCTTCCTTAACAATTTCCCTACTCGCTTTGTTATTTTCTTTGACAATAAATCAATTCATAGAGTGCCTTTAAAAACAGAGGGAGCGCTGCCCA